GTCAGGGTGGAGGTGTCTCCAAAAACTGAAAACAGAACTACCATGTTCTGTAACCTTACCCAGCTATACTTCCCTGGGCATGGAACCAAAGGACCCACAGCTAAACACTGAGCCAACCTCCTGGAATCCAGTTTCGGAGCGGGAGGAGGGATGAGTAAAGGAGCCAAGACGGTGCTGCAGAAACCCGCAGAAACAGTTGACCTGACCTAGTGAGAGCACAGGGACCCTAGTCATAAAGCTGGGGAACCAGCATTGGACCAAACCAAGCCCTCTGAATGGGGTACCAGCTAGGAGGTCAAGACAGTCTATGGACCTCTAACAGTGGAGCCAGTCTTTATCTCTAGAGCACAAATGGACTTTGGGAGCCCATTCCCTATGGATGGATACTATTGCAGCCCAGATACAGCAAGGCAGGCCTAGGCCCTCCCCCAAATGATGTGACAGACTTCGATGGTCCCCCGTGGAGGGCCTCACTATCCCTGGGGAGGGGAGTGGTTTGGGGTATTGGTGGGGAGCATGGGAGGATGGCAGGGTGAAGGAATGGGGGGATGGATATGTAAATAAGAGTGCTTCTAAAATTAAAAAAAAATTAAAATATTTTTTAAAAAAATCTTCACAACTAATTATAAATGTATGGATTACAGCATGGGGGCTTTACTGTCAGGGAATCAAATGCCTGAGGGGGTTTCCTGTTATTGTTTTTGAGACAGGGTATCATATATACATATGGCTGTCCTGGAGCTCACAGAGATCCACCTGCCTCTGCCTCCTGGGCGCTGGGATTAAAGATGTGCGCCACCGCAATTAGCACGTCTGAGTTTTGAGTTTATTATTCTGGCTTCTCTTACAATTCTATGCTTCATAGCAATTATGCCTGAGTTGGAATTCTACCCTCTCCACATAGCAGCTGTATAACTTTGAGAAAGGCCACACTTAAGTTCCCTGATGGGTTGTTTTGTTTTGTTTTGTTTTTGTTTGTTTGGTTTGGTTTGGGTTTCTCTGTAGCTTTGGAGGCTGTCCTGGCACTCGCTCAGTAAACCAGGCTGGCCTCGAACTCACAGAAATCCTCTCTGCCTCCTGAGTGCTGGGATTAAAGGTGTGAGCTACCACCGCCCATCGATGAGTTGAGCCATTCTCTGGAGCCATCACCAGCATTAAGTTTAGCAGGGTTGCACCACATTATGAAACACTTGGACCAGTGCCCGGCACACAGTGGTGTGTGAGCAGGGAAAGATTGCTCGTCATAAGAGATGAAGGCAGTCTTCTTGCTGAGAGACTCCAGAACTGACGAAGGTCCTCATTTCCTGGTGGCTTTGAGAACATTTTGAAAGAGGGAGCAAGCAGGAAGACTTTTAAGAGCTGGAGGGTGGAGAGGAGCGTGGTGAAATGCTGTGTTCCGGGCCTGACACGGCACTGATAGCCTCACAGCAGCTGAAGTCACCTGCACAAGATCAAGGCAGAAAGATCACTCAGCATACCGGCAGGAAGCGCTAACTGGACCCAGTAGGTTACTAAAAAGAATGGAAGAGAGAGGGAGAATGTAAGAGCGTATACATATGCATTGGAATGCCTTGTGGGAGGAGAGCCAGGGGAGAATTGGAGGTAGATAACACTGAGATACAATGCTTATACACATTGGTTTTTTGTTTGGGGATTTTCTTTTCTTTCCTTTTCTTTTCTTTTTGTGAGACAGGGTTTCTCTGTGTAACTTTGGAGCCTATCCTGGCACTCACTCTGTAGATCGGGCTGGCCTGAAACTCACAGAGACCCCCCTGCCTCTGCCTCCCAAGTGCTGGGATTAAAGGCGTGCGCCACCACGGCTAGGCTCTCCATTTTTCAGTTTCTATCCTAGAAGCACCCACATTCTTGGGTGCCAAAGCCTGAATTCACCTGCTGGGAATGTTGTCACAAATCATTGCCAGGTGCTTGGACAACAAACCTGTCGCCTTATGGTTCTGGATGCTTTAAGTATAAAATACAGTTGAGCATCCTGCTTCCTTCCTTCTGAGGCTTGAGGCAGGGATCCACCAAGGGGCTTCCTCTTCAGTGTGCAGATGGCTGCCTGCTTTCTGTTTCCCTCCACACTGTCTTCCCTCTGTGAGTATCCCCAACTCTCCTTTCCACAAGTTGGGTTGAAACAGAGCCAACGCTGGTGACCTTGCCTTTGCTGTGATTACCTGTGCTGTAAAGACCTGTGTAGGGAGACACCGTAACCACGCCTCCTAAGGGCTGGCTGCAGGTGTGCCTGACCACGCTTGTCAAGGTGTGGTCAAGGTGAGGTCAGAATGACACAGCATGGACTCTTAAGCGACCATGAGCATATGGAATGCTCTCTTCTTCTGCTGCTGCCCCTTCTCTCTGGCCTCGCTGTTCTGGCTTGCGTTTGGCTGGTATTTATCTGAATAAAGGTATCTTGAATCTACAAGCTTTTTCCTTTAGACCTGCTCTCCTGAAACACACCTAGGACCCCAGCACTGAGGCAGGAGGATCACTGCAAGTTTGCAGCCAGCCTTGAGTTTTAGACAAGCCAGGAGCTCAAAGCAAGATCCAGTCTCAGAACAAACAAACAACAAACACATCTTCAGGGCTGGACACGGTAGTGCATGCCTGAAATCCTAGGACTCAGGAGACTAAGGCAGGAATACTGAGAGTTTGAGGCCAGCCTGGCCTACATTGTGAGACTGTGTGTCAAGTAGATTTTATTTATTTATTATGTATACAACATTCTGCTTCCATGTCTATCTGCACACTAGAAGAGGGCACTAGATCTCATACCGGATGGCTGTGAGCCACCATGTGGTTGCTGGGAATTGAACTCAGGACCTCTGGAAGAGCAGCCGGTGCTCTTAACCTCTGAGCCATCTCTCCAGCCCCCTGTGTGCCAAATTTTAAACATAAAATAGCAGGGGGACTACTTGGGAATAGGTAGGAGAGTGGGATGGGGGAGGATGATGAAGCGGTCAGATATATTTGTATAAAATGTCATATGAGGCGTTGGAGAGATGTCTGGGCAGTTAAGGGAACTTGTTGCTCTTGCAGAGGAGCCAGGTTTGATTCCCACTCCCCCGGCAGCGGTTCACAGCCATCTGTAACTCCCCTTCCAGGAGTTCTGATACCCTCCTTCTGACCTCTGATGGTGCCAAGCACACACAAGGTGCACAGACACACAGGCAAAAGCCTCACACATAAAAATTACACCCACAGATAAACCTTGAATTGAACTGAAATCCAGTTGCAGAGGAGAAGGAGTGATGAGCAAAGGGGTCCAGACCAGGCTGGTGAAACCCACAGAAACAGCTGACCTGAACAAGGGAAAACTCTTGGTCCCCAGACTGATAGCTGGGAAACCAGGATGGGAATGATCCAGGCCTCCTGAACGTGGTTGTCAGTGAGGAGACCTCAGAAATCTATGGGACCTCCTGTAGTAGTTCAGTACTTATGCTTAGCATAGGTGTGGACTTTGGGAGCCCATCCCACATAGAGGGATAACCCCTGAGCCAAGACACAGGGGGGTGGGGGGTGGGCCTAGGCCCTATCCCAAAGGATTTGACAGACTCTGAAGACCCCCTATGGAAGGCCTCACACTCCCTGAGGAGCAGAAAGAGTCTGGGATTGGTGGGGGGCAGGGGAGGACTGGAGGGAGAGGGAAATGGGATTGACATGTAAAACAATCTTGTTTCTAATTCAAATAAAAAATGGAGAAAAAAATAATAATTTAGAGATTAACAAATCTCTAAAAAGTCATACAAGAACCGGGCATTGGTGGCACACGCCTTTAATCTCAACACTCGGGAGGCAGAGGCAGCGGATCTCTGTGAGTTCGAGGCCAGCCTGGTCTACAGAGCGAGTTCCAGGACAGGTTCCAAAGCTACACAGAGAAACCCTGTCTCGAAAAAAAAAAAAAGTCATATGAAACCCAACATTTTGTACAGTGAATTTGTGCGTGCCTGAGCATGCACACACACACACACACACACACACACACACACACACACACACACACAAATAGTGAGAGTCCCCAGCACCTGTACTTTTTGGAGGGCCAAGGTTCAAACTGTGCCCATGTCTACCTTCTCCAAGCCCTCGTCTGCATGTGTGGGCATGTGATCAAGTAACTCCAGGACAGACAGCACCATGTCTCCAGTGCATGGAGAGGACAGGGGTTTCTTGCTCCACCCTGCCATGCTTGAGCTCCACACAAACAGACTCCAAACCAAAGCTGTCACATCTTCAAACCTTTAATCCCAAATCAGATCACAGTGAAGTCAGACCCGGCTCTTCCCTGCCCCACCAGGCCCCCGTAGGACGTCTTTCCTTCAAGTGAATCAGCACAGACCTGGACAAGGAAGGTCCCCAAATCCTTCTGGGACCCTTGTCAGACTTCCAGCTCAAACCTATCTCCCCATCAGGTCTCTGGAAGGCTCCCCTGGGAGCCCAAATTTGCACATAGCCTCTTAACCATCCTTCCCTATGCAACCCAAATTGGGGAGGAGTGTGTGTGTGTGTGGGGGTGTGTGTGTGTGTGTTGGCGTGT